TTATTAGATGGGTCTTTGTTGCTGGGTACAATGCTCTCAGCGGTCAGGTAGATCTGTTCTTCACCTATAAATAAACATTCTAGGAATTTAGTACATTCAGTAAACAACGGAGATTCAATAATATATGTATACATAGTACATATAATCAGAACAATATGTAACCTGACAGCAATGACAACATATAATCGTTGATTTGATCAACATCTTCGTTTCTGGGACTCAGAATAGCACGATGTTGATAAAAGTCTTCAGCATGTTGACTCTTTAATAAGTTTCCATACACTTTTTTCACTATAGTTTACATTGGATCGCCATAATGTTTGACTATCAAATCTTCTGGAATGTCAATATCTACAACTCCATCATTTGGAGTATTGACTTTACCATCACCAACTGCTAATATCCAATCTGAGAATGCCTTAAGTTCAGCAGCAGTGACATCACTTAGTCAAGCAAGCAACCTCATATTCTTTGTAAGTTGTAAAACTTTGCAAGAATCCCATAATTCTGATGTATTGATTGTTGCCATAACTGTTTATGCTCGGCTAGCATGAGGAATTACCAGAAGTATCTGTCGGATATCACCTCCAAACACAACCACCTTCCCACCAAATGTTTTTTTCACAGGTAATCTAATGATATCATTTAGACTTCTATCTAAATTTTCGAAACAATACTTGCTCATCATCGGAGCTTCATCCCATACAATAAGGTCAACCTTTTTCATGAAATTAGCAAGATCTGACCCAGGAGGCATATTGCATTGAGTAAATCATCTGGATTTATTGGAATTCCAAACTCGAATGAGCTGTCTACCACCTTCTAAAACCAGAGAAGCAATCCCACTCGATGCAGTGTTGATTACTATCTTACCTCTAGATCGAATAGCAGTTGAAAGACAACTCCTAATAACACCGTATTTTGACCACTTTCATGCATCGTTTTAAAATACTTTTTCTATGTTTTTTATTGCTTTCAAGTGTTTTTATTATATTTTTCTATTATTTGTAGTTTCAAGACTCTTTTCAGGAAACTTAGGAAAAAGCTTAACAAAATGGATAGAAGACCAGATTTCAGCTCAGAGTCAAACTGTCAGAAGTTCATCCTCAAATGAAGACCCTCTTACCGTCTGATCCAGCTCAAATTTGGAGACCTTAAAGATGGAACTAGTAGCTTTCCAGCACACTTTACAGAACGATAATCCAACGGTTCAATCAAAAGTTACGCGAAGAGCAAGATGTCCCGTAAACCAGCCGACAAGCATTCCTTCCCACAGCCACAATCATTTCACACTGGTCCCGACCTTCCCGACCGCGGAGAACGGTCTTTCCGACCCCAAAGCCCATTTTCAAACCCAAAATGATTCCCTCATTTGGAGAAACCCTAAGTGACGCCCAGAAATGTCTTTAGCACTATAAATACATGTTTTAAGAACATTAAGTCGTATCATCTTTTATGCTTTTTATGTTTTATAATACTTTTTAGGTTTTCAATACTTTGCTTTTAGGGAGATAGAGATCTATCTCTTGAACCCTTTTTGTTTCTTCTGCAATATCGATTTCTGCTCAGCTCAATGTTGTTGCTTTCTTTAACCATGTCTGAGTAGTTTTATTGTTTGATTTAAGGGATTTTCGATGGGGGCTATATATATTCGATGAGGATTCCATTACCTATTGAACCCAATCTTAGAACTTTTTCTTCTTAACTTATTTTTAATGCATGGGAATAGCGTCATCAACTACAATCTGATCTAGGTCCTTCGTGTTGCGAAAGTTTTCATCCGGGGCCAGATCTAGTTTGAGAATAGCAGATCAACCATTGGATTAGAAACTTACCTAAGGGCGAGCTGTGAATGTTGACGAGTTTTAAGCAAAATGCATCTTTTCTCTTCCAGGGCCTGAGTGGAAACTTACTGATCAGGGTTTCGAGAGATAGTTGGTTATGATCACGACAGTGGCGTATTCATACGTTCGTGACTCAAGTTCTAATAGTTTTAGCTTGGATCTTTTATTTTACTTTTTAGCAATGTTTTGAATCGTTCATCCCTTGGCAAAAATTTCCCTGAAAACCCAGCGTCTCGTCTTTATAAGTTTTCACCGATTTCAATACAATTTTTAGTCATTAAGTTATTTTTCTTTATTCCAGCCGATTTTCATACAAGCAATTAGGTCTAGCCGTTTTTTTTTTGTTTTTAGTCGATTTTATTAGGTTTAGTTATTAGGTCTTTTTAATTCTCGTATTTTCCCGTTAAGATTAGTTTCTACATTTTAAAGACACCACCAAAACCCCTACAAAAATTGTCTAGTTCTAGACTTCCTTACTTTACATTTCTTTCGAAGGCTTTTGCAGAAAATAACCTTCTTCCCTGTGGATTCGATCCCTAAGTACTACAATCAATCAGATTTGCACTTGCGGCTATTGATTTCATTTAGGGTAAAACTTGACACCTTCACGCATGACCACATCAAATCCAAAAAAATGTTTTACCAGTACCTCCAAAACCATATACAAAGAAAACACCCCCTTACTTATTCAAAACAGCATCCAAAATCTATTTATAACACCTTTGTGCTCATCTCTTATCATGGAAAGAAATCTCTCATTTTCAATATTTTGCTCCTCCTTATTGTAATTGAGTTCATCAACAATAAATTGGTTCCCATTGTACTCCATGAAATTATCAGGTGTTGGCATACAGTTCCATTTCGACAGTGAACGTCCTCTGCTTTCCAAGAAGGCCTGAATTTCTTTTAATGCAAAATTTTTAATCTGCTCGGTATTTAAATTCAAACCTGAAACAAAAACAATACAGACAGAGAGTTTTTAAAAAATATCCACCACGTTGTAAAGCAATATTAATGTCTTAAAGAATTACCAAAACTGCCTACTTTCATATCTACTTTATCGACGATGGATATGAAGTATATCATCAATTAAATACTCCCACGTTGCTTCCCAAACTACGCCAGATTGTGTTAAGCAATCACCTAGCAACATTATAGAGAAAAACAGTCGAATATACCATCCTGAAGCCCATATGCTGGCTTCTTTGATTCCTTCGATGTATTCCTTGCCATCATCTAACAACCCTAGCGCATCACACACTTCTTTGTAAGTGTCGTAGACAACTTCGTCAACTGTTTTAATTTATCGTAACATTTTGGACCTGTGACTGTATTAATTAACATTCTCTAAAAACACGTCTCTTCATTGCTTTGATGAATATGAGCAATCCTTCCAATTGTGAAGCTTCACTTTCTATGTTTCCATTCTCTATCTTTGAGATGTCTAACAAATTTTGTTGGTAGCTCTGCATAGGTTAGAGTTCTCGCATCTGGATAATTTTTTCATGCTTCAAACCAACCTAGAAACACTGACACCAACACGTTTCAGAATAGACTCAAGAGGTTTGTCTTCATCATGGACATAAATTTCCCGGTTGGGGAGATGGAAGCAAAGTTTTTCCACCAAAACACTCTTATAATGTGGGAAAACCTAAAATTATCCATGTGGCTTCGAAAGCAGAGACATATCTACGTTTTATGAAAAAAATCATGTTTAAAATGTCTCAAGATTATATAGAAACATATATGCCATATATAACATATGTGGAATTCAAATATACCTGCAGTTGTAATAATTCTTGATTTCATCCACAACTCTATTCTCATATTTGTCTAAAGCCGCAGAGACATAGTCAGGACCCTTATAAATATATTTGAAAAGATATTTCACAGCCCGCGTTTGAGTGCACCACTCAACATTTATATCTGCACGATAACATAGCATAAGTGTATGACACAACATATCCATTATCAAGATTTATACCATTTTTGGTGACAAACCTATTATCCCTGCAACGTCGTTATGATGGGAAACCGTTTGGATCCATCAAAGTTTTTTCATTGAAAGGTTTTGGAAAACTCTTTGAACACTTCCTTTTCACCATGCAAAATAGTGTCAGGCTTAGCAGCTCCACATGGCCCATGCATCAGATTTTCTCCAACAATATTATAAAGTTCTGGATCTGTTGTCTTGTCAAGTATCTCAGTGCTGATGTACTTGTAAATGTCATCAGTAGTTCGTAATTTATTATTATCTTTCAAGAATAACAAAATATGGGTGTGTGGCAAACCTCTTTTCTGAAACTCTATTGTGTACATAGTTGAAAGACAATATATTTAAGTCAAAACATGGTAATACTGTTTCATGAAAATAAATGACTATAGTTCACCAATTAATTAGTATAACAATAGAACATATCGACAGCTGTTGGACCAAAAATAGCTATTTTTTTTGTTAGATCAGTCATCAGATTGTCCAACTTCATCTTGAAAACACGGCACATAATGTTTGGCCTATCCTCTGTTATTAGGTTATATTTCTGGAGATACCTTGTAATCTCAGGCCATTTGTGATTGCAAGTAAATGTAATAAACAAATCCGGAAAACTAAAATATTTTCATATGGCCATAGCATCCTGGTAGTGCTGATTCATATACTATGGTCCATTGATAAAACTCGCCAGCATATAAATTCTTGGTCTTTCTGAACTAAGATTTTCGACACCCGCTTCAGATGCATTCTTTATAATTGTATAGCTATTATAACGAATCTTTTTCTGATTGAACTACAGATAATGTAGTCTACTGGATTCGATCATGGTATATGCATCAACAAGAAACTGTTGCAATAGTCTACCTGATCGATTGATTGTAGGAGTCTCACCATGTCTCTCACAAATCCTGAATGCAAAAAAACTCATGCATTGTTACTAATTTTATCACTACAAGAATATTGGTTATTAATAGCATTAAAAGATAGCAGAATGTATTTGTGCTATGACATAGTAAACGTTTAACGTTTATTTTTATATAGCGTTTGTAAATTTCAAACGCTATCGATTTGTTGGTCAGATTAAAAAACAAAGAAGGCGCTAATTTTTTTTGGTCTAAGATATTATAGCATGATATTAATAGCACATATGACACTTAAACGCTATGACATAGTAAACGCTTATAATTTTTTAAGACCCCGCCTTCTAAAAATTTTCACCAAGTCAAAAACCTAATTATTAATATACTACTAGAAGAAATGGTAGAGCTAAAACTTTTTTCTCTCTTTCCTTTGAGAGGCGATTACTCTCTCAAAACCCAACCCTAGCCGCCTTCTCGTTCTGTGCCGATCTCCCTTCCCGGTGAACAGTGTCTCTCACGGCCGCCAGAAAAGGGATCACTTCTACGAGATAGCAAGGCCTCCGCCAAAGATTCTCAAATCTCTTCTTCTTCTCTTACCTCCATCTCCGTTGTTCTCTCGCTTCGTCGGATTAAGAGCACCACTTCGAGTCCAGTGATGCCGAAGATTCCAAGACGTATCCCCATCAGGCCGGTAACATCCGTAAAGGTGGTCACATCATCATCAAGGGTCGTCCCTGCAAGGTCTTATTTGGATTTTCCTCATCTCTTTCATTTCCATTCATTTTCGTTAAGCATGGCTCCCGATCTCGTTATTTTGATTCTAGATCTCCGTGTTGTGTATTTCAGCTCTTTGATTTAGATCGGACCCTGATTTTTGTGATTCTGTGTTTTATCTTTAGGTCACAGTAATTATATCGTATCGTTCTCATCGTTTTCATTTCTGATTTCATCAATTTTGCGGCTTGTGTTTATCCTGCTCTTTGATTATGGTGATGGCTTTTTACATCCCTAGATTGTGAGAAATGAAAATAAACATAGATAGAAATCAAGCAACATCAGCTGGTTTTTGTGTGTGTATGAATCTAAGAGATCTACTTTGAGATTTGATCTAAATATCTAATAGAGTTTAATTTTTGTTGGCCTTTTTTTGGATTGTTAGATTGTTGAGGTTTCAACTTCACTATTTGATGTTTGATTAAATTGTTTCTCAGTATCTTGCAGAGCCTTAGATGTAATTGTTTAAGTTTATATGCTGCAGTTTTATTCTATTATTCATGAAAATGGCTACTTGAAAGCTGGCTTAATTGTTTGTATTTGCTGCCTTAATTTCATTTATGAAGTTCCAGACCTTGACCCTTTGTTTTCTGTCTTTGTATCATCTTCACACTTGACTTTGTACACTCTTCGTATAGTTTTTCTATCACAACCTCAATTCGTACCACTCAATTGACATTAGCATGATTTCAAAACTTTAACTGTTGAGTTTATTTTTATCACTTATACACTTTTCTGACTATCTTTACTTGCATTCGTTGGTTGGTTTAGGTGAAGATTTTGATCTGATTGTCTTTTTTTTTTCCTTTTACATTTCAGAAAGAGGCTCTTGAAAAGGATTTTGATGGAGCATAGAAAGGAACTGGACGAGAAGATGAAGTTAGCTTCATCTAGTTTGATAAATTCCATTTCTGTTGCAAGTGATTTACTTATTTAATATGTTGTTGTCGTCTTTGTAAAATATTTTACTACTAATGATAATTGTTTTATCTTTGTAAATTTTGTTTTGATCGTCATCTTTGTAAATTAAAATTGAAGCTTTTAGAATTAAAATTAGAAATTAAAAATTAAAATTAAAATTAAAAATTAAAAATCTAATTCTAGATTGATATGAATAATACTATTAATGACAAAAAGAAAGCGTTACTATAGAATATTTAATAGCATACAAACATGTGTTATAATAAATGAAAATAAAACCGTTATCTAATGTATCGGCCGATGATAGAGCGCTTAAATAAACTCTATGATATCTTTAGATAGCGGTTTTCAGCCGCTACTAAAACCCGTTTTCCTGTAATGAATTTCGTTTCTTAGTAGATGTCTCTTCATACCCAATTGGAATCTTCAAGTGAAACCCATCCTTTTTATATGGGAACAATAAAGGATATTGCAGAGGCAGGTATGCAAAATGTAATTCACTAATCCTTTGAAATCCTCTGTCTGTACTGGACTCAATAATGATGTCTCTAGTTTCCATGTTCAAAACAAAGTCACCTGGTATCAAAGCTGCAACTTCATCCGAAGTAGGAATATTATGAGTTCTTCCATCCGCTGATCTTCCTTCTATCAACCTCAATTTAAACGTCACCTCTCCATCAGCCTCAAACTTATCTCTAACTTTCCTAAATACCTTGACGTAAGGATTGACTTTGTCTAGCATCTTTTTCAATAAATCCAAAACAATAAACTTAAAATTATCTGTCTTCGCGCTCATATTTCTAAGAAGATTAAAAATACGTTTAGAAAATAGAGAATATGCACATCTTATGTCTTTAGTTAGATGATAATAAAGTACTGTGAAATGAATATCATACGTACCCATGAGCAGCTATTCTATTGTATAGTTCATTAAGCGTGTCATAGATGTATAGTTGCAAAAATTTGGGCATCTCGCCAAGATATGGAACCATATCACCAATTTGATGATAATTCTCCTCATTCATTTTAAAGACATAAGGACCACGACCATTGTTAATCGTGTAGTCTATTCTTCCACTTAATGACGTGAAAGAGAGCATCATATTGTATGCTCTAATGAACTCACGAAAATGTTTACTCAACGCATCCCTTTTGCATCACAATTCTATTAGATATATCAGAGGATTTTTAAGTTTAGGGAGGAAAATTTTTTCCTACTTACAGCATAGCGGGAATATGGGTATCAATTATCTTCTAGATTTTCCTATCCGCTCTCCATACCAAAAATATACTCCACAGTGTCCACACTCGAATGAGAGATCTCCATCATCGTAATATTCTGCCAAAATATAATTGACATTATATTGTTCTATATTAAAATAAAATAATAACGAATTTGACATTCTTGGTACTTACTATTTGGTTGAAACCAAATTAAAATCTTGATGTTGATCCAACTACATTGAGAACAGTTGTCTGACATATATTGTCATCTGCCTCCACATTATCAACTTCAAATCCCATTCCTGAAGTTTCGCCTTCGTCGTAATTAGGATCATGATTTTCATCATAATCATCATCATCTTTTTCATCGCTGTGGGCCTTATATTTATTTTGATAAACTATTATTTAAATTATGTAGCGGTCAGTTTTATGTACTGAGTAACCTAGAAATAATGAAAAATATTAGACAACATAATATTAATACCTTGGGGATGCTCCTTAATTAAAATCGATCTGGAGTTCGGTTGTGGTAATCTGATGTCCCGACCGCGGAGAATGGTCTGTCCGATCCCGAAACCCATTTTCAAACCCAAAATGATTCCCTCATTTGGAGAAACCCTAAGTGACGCCCATAAATGTTTAGAGCACTATAAATACATGTTTTAGGAACATTAAGTCGTATCATCTTTGATGCTTTTTATGTTTTAGAATACTTTGCTTTTAGGGAGATAGAGATCTATCTCTTGAACCCTTTTTGTTTCTTCTGACATATCGATCTCTGCTCAGCTTTTCAATACAAATGTTTTTGCTTTCTTTAATCATGTCTGAGTAGTTTTATTGTTTGGTTTAAGGGATTTTGATGGCGGCTATATATATTCGACGAGGATTCCATTACCTACTGAAGCCGAATCTTAGAACTTTTTCTTCTTAACTTATTTTTAATGCATGGGAATAGCATCATTAACTACAATCTGATCTAGGTCCTTGGTGTTGCGAAAGTTTTCATCCGGGGCCTGATCTAGTTTGATTAGAGCAGATCAACCATTGGATTAGAAACCTACCTATGGGCGAGCTGTGAATGTTGACGAGTCTTAAGCAAAATGCATCTTTTCTCTTCCAGGGCCTGAGTGGAAATCTACTAGTCAAGGTTGCGAGAGATAGTTGGTTATGATCACTACAGTGGCGTATTCGTACGTTCGTACTCGAGTTATAAAAGTTTTAGCTATGATCTTTTAATTTACTTTTTAGCAATGTTTTGAATCGTTCATCCCTTGGAGAAAATTTCTCTGAAAACCCAGCGTCTCGTCTTTATAAGTTTTCGTCGATTTCAATACAATTTTTAGTCATTAAGATATTTTTTTGTTATTCCAGCCAATTTTCATAAAATCAATTAGGTCTAGCTTTTTCTTGTTTTTAGTCGATTTTATTATGTTTAGTTATTAGGTCTTTTTAATTCTCGTATTTTCCTGTTAAGATTAGTTTTTACGTTTTTTAGACACCACCAAAACCCTTACAAAAATTGCCTGGTTCTAGACTTTCTTACTTCACATTTCTTTCGAAGGCTTTTGCAGAAAATAACCTTCTTCCATGTGGATTCGATCCCTAAGTACTACAATCGATCAGTGGCTATTTGCGGCTATTGATTTCATTTAGGGTAAAACTTGAAACCCTCATGCATCACGCATGACCACATCAACTCCAAAAAAATGTTTTACCAGTACCTCCAAAACCATATACAAAGAAAACACCCCCTTACTTATTCAAAACAGCATCCAAAATCTCTTGATATACACCTTTGTGCTCATCTGTTATCATGGAAAGAAGTCTCTTATTTTCAATATTTTGCTCCTCCTTATTGTAATTGAGTTCATCAACATTTAATCGGTTCCCATTGTACTCCATGAAATTATCAGGTTTTGGCATACAGTTCCATTTCGACAGTGAACGTCCTCTGCTTTCCAAGAAGGCCTGAATTTTTTGTAATGCAATGTTTTTAATCTGCTCGGTATTTAAATTCAAACCTGAAACAAAAACAATACAGACAGAGAGTTTTTTTTTAAAAATATCCACCACATTGATTATTGTATGTTGTAAAGCAATATTAATGTCTTAAAGAATTACCAAAACTGCCTACTTTCATATCTACTTTCTCGACGATGGATGAAGTATATCATCAGATAAATACTCCCACGTTGCTTCCCAAACTACCCCAGATTGTGTTAAGCAATCACCTAGCAACATTATAGAGAAAAACTGTCGAATATACCATCCTGAAGTCCATATGCTAGCTTCTTTGATTCCTTCGATGTATTCCTTGTCATCATCTAACAACCCTAGCACATCACACACTTCTTTGTAAGTGTCGTAGATAACTTTGTCCACTGTTTTAATATCATCGTAACATTTTGGACCTGTGACTGTATTAATTAACATTCTCAAAAAACATGTCTCTTCATTGCTTTGATGAATATGAGCAATCCTTCCAATTGCAAAGCTTCACTTTCTAGGTTTCCATTCTATATCTTTGAGATGTCAAATAAATTTTGTTGGTAGCTCTGCATAGGTTAGAGTTCTTGCATCTGGATATTTTTTACATGCTTCATACCAACCTAGAAACATTGAAACACTGACACCAACACGTTTCAGAATAGACTCAAGAGGTTCGTCTTCATCATGGACATAAATTTCCCGGTTGGGGAGATGGAAGCAAAGTTTTTCCACCGAATCACTCCTATAATGTGGGAAAACCTAAAATTATCCATGTGGCTTCGAAAGCAGAGACATATCTACATTTTTTTTGAAAAAAATCATGTTTAAAATGTCTCAAGATTATAGAGAAACATATATGCCATATATAACATATGTGGAATTCAAATATACCTGCAGTTGTAATAATTCTTGATTCCATCCACAACTCCATTCTCATATTTGTCTAAGCCGCAGAGACATACTCAGAACCCTTATGAATATATTTGAAAAGATATTTCATAGCTTGCGTTTGAGTGCACCACTCAACATTTATAGATGATGAAAGAGTGAACATTAGAGATTTGGTTAAAATGTATAGGGAAAACTTGAGTACCAGGAATAGTACTTACGTTTTCGAAAGGGTGGAGAATCATCGTCACGTTAAATGCATTGACTTTTTTCATTGTAACTTTGTGTTTCAGTAGAAGATTTTCCAATATTTCTACTCCTAGGTCTCCCACCTGATTGTACATAAAATAATTTAGATTTAATTGTTATATATGGAAAAAGAAGGAATATATGTGTGCTAACGTTTCAAGAATGGCGGTGAGTTCTCCTTGTTAGATGAGCTATTTCCAGAAGCCATTTCTGAACTTCAACTGTGTATGACTGTTTTGAAATTTGAAAACATTCGCCAAGGAATATACTAATTTATTTCCCAGTTTAAAGGATCTTGTTTACAATTATTGTTTTCCAAAGATTACGTGTTTTTGAATCAAATTACGGTGGACTATATTTATATAGGATTTGAAAACGAATCTACATTCCTTTATGGGGTTAAAATGAAATCTTCTTTGATTTTATCAATAAATGTTAAAATTCAAAATATGATTCAAATTCAAATTTTAATAATCACCACGATTATGCTATCTTGTTATAACTGATAATTCATATACAATAATCACCACAATTATGCTATCTTGCTTTTTCTAACAGCTTGCGGAATCTGAATAATCCTGATTAAATGTTTATTTGAATTAATTTAACGAATATTTACCAAACTTGTATAAACGATACATCTCTATATTATTATTTGAGTAGACATTTCATAAATGAACATTTATTTGTAAGATATTACAGAATATTTTACATAAATAAACATTTAT